TCGCTCCCTCTCGGAGGCTGCCCGCAGTCGGAGGGCCCGGAGGGCTCGCTTTTTACGCCGCTCCCCAGTTTCCTTGCCTAGCATTTAAATGTCTCGCTAGTCGCTGACCCCGTCAGGCCGCGGCCCTGGGTCCTCGCGGTCTGGCCCAGGATCGGCGCGCGCACCCTCGGGCCCATCTCCCCCGGCGGCGACCCTCGCGTCGGCCATAAGGCCCCTTACGACCGACACTTCGACTAAACGGACTACCGCGATGTTAACGATGCCCTCTCGAGAAGACATCTTCGTCCCGAGGAGACCCTCTCTCTCCTGCCTCCCCTTTTGCCCCTGACCAATTTTTGGGCCTTGAATTTGGGATTTTCCTGCTTCTCTAGAACAGGCGACGCCACCTTCTCGGATCGCACTGGATTTCACGCTCTGCGGGTGCGCGACCCCACCGGGGGCAGGGGCAGGGCCCCGGGCCGATAGTCAATTAAGTATAGTGAATCGAGTAGGACCCAATCGCGGTGACCCGCGAAATTCCCCGTATGATTGGTCGGGCATCGTAATGAACCCCGTGCGATGTGGCGGATCGGAGGGGGCCCCGTTGCTGGGTGTCGAATTCGCACCGCCGCCTCATGGGGATGCAACGGGGTCGGGTGATTTCTTTCTCCTCTCCTTTTTCCCTTCTTCCTCGCGTTTAATTTAGCCGGGTGTCGTGGACCTCGTAAAGGTTAGAATCGAGAAATTAATTTCCCCACGGTTTGTGCACGCCGGAGAACGCGACGGGGGCTCGCCAATTTCGCGGATTCGGATCGTGGAATCTATCGGCAGCGGGATCGATAGACGGAATCGCGATTGATCGGAGCATCCGTATCGGCCCGATGCCCCGGGTCGGCTCCTCGGAGCTAATAACCGAGTATCATCGCCGTGGTGTGCGTCGGTGTGCGCGGGTAGCCCAGGGATTTCTACGATTTCGAGATCTGCGATTCGCGATCTAATGTGGCCGGGCCACGCGAACCTATCATAACCTTCGCGGCCCGGGCCCCTAACCACATGTTTGCCCAGCTAACCTCACCTCCGCGGCGCGATTCCCCCCGGATTTGCATTTCTACGAGTGGTAATGCCGGGTACGCCTCTCGGGTATCCGGGCCGGGATCTACGACGGCACCCGAATAGGCCCCGGGGCAGTTCCGGGGGTGCCCCTCCTCGAGGAACCACCCCATGACTGTTTTCCCCCCATGGAAAACCTTTGGTAGGGGGGTCGAACCAAAGCGCGAAGTCGAGGGATGCTGCTGGACCGTCTATCCAGTCCTAGCAGGAGAGCGAGTCGCGACTGCGAACACGGACCCCAAGAAAAAGGGGCCCGACCGACGATCTGGGCGACGATCTGGGCCCGCGGGTCCCCCTTGGGCCCCGGGAGGGAGATAACTCTCGGCCGTGACTCGGCCGTGTACGCGCGATTCTCTCCCCCTTTCGTGTGCGGACACGCCTGTCCTCCACCCCCGCCCCCTTCCGCGTCGCGGACAATATTGTAAACAAAATGGTACCACTATTTCATTGGTAACCCGACACCCCTGAGCTGAACCCACACACATCGCCCTCCCTTCTCTCTCTCGTCTTCCCTCGCCGTCTGCGGGGCCCTACTCCTCGCCCCCTCTTGCCAACATCGGACGGGCCCCATGCTCCGGATCGCGCTTTGGGACTCGTCCCGCGGAAATCGCCAGGGTGAACGATGCCGTAGGGCCCATCTGGGTGGGAGGGCCTTTTCTATTCCAACTTGAGATAATGGATTACCGCCGCGTTTGGAAGAAAAAGGGCGTAATTAGTTTCCGCTTGGTCGCGGCTACCGCGAGGGTGGAGAGGCGAGAGGGAGTATCGGGGCCCGCGGGCCCCGGCTCGCCGATTTCGACTTTACGAGGCCCTCCAGCCCGGTCGGCCGGTGGTCCGCCCAATTTACAGCGTTCCGGGATTCCGGCCCGTCCGCGGAAGGTCTTGTCGCCGCGTGTTATTCAAATGTAACAGCGCGCCGAGCCCAGAAGAGGGGCCCTAACGTTCCGCGCGGCATCGTCGTGGGCCCCTTAACCCTTTTCTTGGACCCTATCCTCGCCCTGGCGCCGTCTGTTCCTCGGGACTTTTCGTTCGCGCCGTGGCCCGTGCCTAGACGGTGGGGCCTCACGGAAGGGACCAGATTTCGGTTTTCCGACCAGGCGTTATCTCGTTCCGCGATAAGTGGGACTTAATAGGCGACTAGCCGCGGAAGCGGAGGGAGCGACCGCGAGCGAGCCGCGGGTGACGGGCCCAAAGAAGGGGCCCGATAGGAGAGAGACCGCGAACATTTGTCAGACACTTTAGAGCCTGTCCCACATTGTTTTCCTTTCCTCGTTTCGACTAGGAAGACCACTCTTTAAGCGGTGTTTTACACGCGCCGTTCCTGGAAAGGAGGCCCCCGGGCCGGTCAGGTACCGGGGCCCGACCGGGGCCCGTCCCGAGAACGGGCCATTTCGCCTGTCAGGCCCAATTTGTTGGGCCCCTGCGAGGCCCCGCGCCGTGTGTGCTCTCCGTTACAGTTTATGGCCGTCATTACCTCGATCGCTCGAGTGGGATTAAACGATTTGTTCGCCGGGGACCGGCCCATTTTGCCGAGCGCAATCGAGAGCCCGCGCGACGGTGGCGACGCCCGCGGAGGGCCCGACCAGGCCCCTGGACGCGGCACCGAGGTCCGCGTCGCTCCATTAGGCCCATTACCGTTTCCACGGGCCACGATTTGCAGAAAATATACGCCGGGAGAGAAGGAACGACGGCGAGCGCGGCTGCGGAGAGGCCCAGGGCGACGAAACGTAAATCCACCGAGTCGTAAAGGCCGGTTTCCCGTGGCGGTCTTGGGCCTTACGGCCCACAGGTCTCCGTTGCGTTCCCGCGCCGCGGATACGCATGTGCACGCATAAGCGGACACTTAGCCGCGGTTCGAGTCGAGCGAACTCGCTCGTTCCGTTCCCCGGTTCGAATCTCATTAGGCCCCGTTTCCTCGCGCATGCCTTGCCTCGCGAGGCCCCGGAGCGCCTCGAGATTTTCCCGGGCCCTGATCTCGGGGGCCTTTCTCCCAGGGAATTCGATAATGGAGAAATTCGATGAGGAGGCGAGAATTATCCTCGCGAGCTCGATGGGGGACCCCGTTCCTGGGCCAGGATGAATGGAGCGGTCCCGAGGGACTGCGGAGGAAGTAACAGTATCCGAGCGGATGGATTCCGCGCGAGGTGTGCACGCGGCCCGGTGGATTGTGTGCAGAATGAACGCAAACTGTGGGGGTAATTTGCAACACCGGCAATTTGCATAATTAGCAGTTCTGAACTCGCGGCCGGCGGACCACCACCACTACACCGACCACCACCACTATACCCGACTCCACCACCGTAACCGTCGCCACCAACACGGACCTCGACGCCGAGCGGCGATGGCAGTCCGTCGCGATGCATCCTCACCGCATCCTCACACGAGCGTAGTCCTGGCCAGCTCGCGAGAGGATCGCCTCTCGGGAAACAAGGACGAGAGTTATCGTTAAACCGTTCCGTGTATACGGAGGGCCCGATTGCCAGCTTGCCAACGTACTCTCATCCTCTCCTTTCGCTCTTGAACTTAGGATGCGACTCCGGTGATTATTCCGCGCTGCGGATTGATTGATTTCGGAGTCTGCGCCGGAACGATCCACGAATTCCGAGTTTCCGGAAAAACCGGGCCTCGGGTTTCCACGTTGGCGCGTTAAGGCCGCATTACGACACGCATTAGCGGGACAAATGGAGGCCCGGGGCCCCCGGGCCCCTTCGCGTATCCGCGGTAATGCGCCCAATTATACCCGTTACTCTAAACTCCGCGGGCACGAAATGCGCGGCAATCTCAATTGCAAATGATACGGGGCACTTTGTCGGGCGCGCGGGTTTAACCCCGATAAAGGTAATTGCGCCCGTGGGGTCCTTTTTCCCCGGATTGATCCCGAGGAGCGCTCCTCGAGGAAGCGATTGCCCAATGGCCCCGATCGGACGTCCCGGGGCCCGGTCTTATTAATTGCGGCCCTATTTCTCGAAGTCCCGATTTCCTTCCCCGAGTTAATTGTCTCCCGACGTTTCCCGGGGATCGCTCTTCCCACGCATATTCCACTGTCGCTCGCCGCCTCCTAATGTCGATGTGCACGATGTGCAGGAAACGGCGCCGATTGGGCCGCGGTCCATCGGAAAGTCGGGCCGCGCAATGCGCGTCCGCCTACACGCGCGGCCGAGTTTCTCCGCTCCCCCCCTCGGGGGACTTATTCCAGACCGCGCACTTACCTGGGGCCCCACTCTCGCAGGTACGTACCACCTCGTTGGCCGGCGCTCGTAAGCTACTTATCCAATCAGTTGTGCAAGCAAAGTTTCTCATTTGACAGCCGAGATTGCCGGCTCGCGAAATCGCCCCCCCCCGAGAAAAGAGTATCGCTTTATGCCCCGATGAGTCCACCGAGTTACGCGATTTCGAGACCCTTGTATTCCATAGAGGAGGGACGGAGGAAATTAAGGCGGCACGAAAGTGTCGTCGGAGGTCTTTATGGGACTTTTCACCGAAATGGGTGGAATCGATTCGGCCGAGGGGCGCGAAAACGCGACCGAAGAATTGCGCGACTCAAGTCGGATGGAATTAGCGTACGCGGTCTTTACCTTAATTGCTCGTACCTTGGATGGGCCGATTATAAGGCGATTATCGGTGATGCGCGTCTCTCGCGAGCTGGCTCGGACCTTGGGCAATGATTTACGAGAAATGTCCTCCCCTCGAAGCGACGAGCTTTTCTTCGGCTGGTATCCCTGGGTTCGTACGAAACTGTGAAATTCGCCTGGAGAAATTGGTCGAAAAAAAATTGGAGTTACATTCGGGATCTGAAAATCGGGAGAAATGTCCGCGAAGGGGAGGACGGTGGTCCTGGGGGTTGTAGCAAAAAAAGATAAGAGAGAGAGAGAGACGGGCTGGTCGTAGAGAGTGGTGATATAATTTATTTCGCTAGGATCGCTGGAACCGAAACTCTCGGCCGTCGCACGGATATACTTTCCTCGGCGTGCTCGACCCGAGGTGAAATCACATTTCCTATTTACAGAGTTATTTACAGGGCGAGCGCCGCGACGGAGCCGATCCTCGATCGGGCCCGATCGGGCCCGGCCGCCGCGGGCTCTTCTCCTCCCTTAATCCCTCCTCCATCATTCGGCCGGAGCGGTCAATAATTTAATTCGGTACAACTCGGACACATCGATCGGTAAAGAATACTGCTCTTTGATAAGGACGCAACTTAATCGGTAAATACATAAACTCGTTACACTGGGCTCGTAAAGTATCAGGTTTGGCACTGACTGTTCCCCCCGTGCCGTAGGGTCCGCGCTCGGCACTGGAATATGTACATTCGCGACGTTTCGGGGCCCGACGTGGGGCCCCGGGGGGACCGGGCCCCGCGCGTCTATTTACACCCCACCCCGCACTCGGGCACTGATCGGTTCCAATGGCGAGCTATTAATGGCAAGATACGCGTCCGCGTCCAAGAGCGACCGGGAGGGCGGATGCACCGCGCGGAGTCGCCGGCCCGCGGTTTCGGGAACCTCGAGTCTCCCTTCCGGGCGAGTCGGTGTATCTCTCTCACGGTCGGTCTTTCCGACTTCCCGGCCGTTTCCGCCGGAAGCGGGCCCATTTAGCGGCGCGTCCGCCATCTTTGACGGACAATGCCTCCATTACGCGGCTTCCGATGAGAGCGACTTCCCGGCCGTCGTTCCCTGGGATCGGGAGAAGCTCTCCCCGTCTCCCCTTTGTCTCCGTCGTCCCGCTCCTTCCGCTTCCTATTTTTCTCCGTCGTTCTCCCCGAACGATCGTCAGGGTCCTCCTCCCGCTTCCTCCCGGGGGACTCGTTCCGTCGTCGTCGCCGCATCGGCGTCTGCGACGTCCCCCGCGTCTCCCTCGTCGGGCCCTTTTTTCAATTCCTCGCGCGATTCCTCGAGTAGGGACGGGAGAGCCTCGACTTCCGGAGGCCCTCGTCGAGGGCCTGGCCCGCTGGAGGTCTCTCTAGGAACTAATCTCGCGAGGTGAGCCTTCCTCGGGACTCGAGAATCTCGAGAATCTCGACGACGAGTGGAATCCGCCGTCCTGGACTCCGACTTCCGGCTACGCCTCGGACCCGCTCGGACACTCTTCCGCCTCCGGGTCTATGTGCTCCTCCTCCTCTTCGTGGTGGTAGTCCCCGGTCTCCTGCTGCCACTTGCTCACGTGGTGGGTGTTCTTGTTCCCGGCGTTGTTGTTCGCGTTCCCGGACTGCTGTTGCGCCTTGGCCTCCTCCTCCTGCTGCATCCGTTTGTGCTTCGTCCGCCGGTTCTGGAACCACACCTTCACCTGAAATGCAGAGGTCGGGGGTCCCGCGTTAATTCGACATCCCCGTGTGGCGACGTGGAGGGAAGACCCGGGAGAAGTATCGAGCGCGGCGCGAGGCATCGGACGCACCCCTGGGAGAGGGAGCCTCCGCTTCCGAGGGCTCAGCGCGATGGACCAATCCCGACGCGGGCTGAGCCCCTGCCACCCGGGGGGAGGCTTCCCCTAAACGGTGCTCGGCAAATTAAGTGCCAACTAGTTAACGTTCGCCCCGGAGGCCGAGCCACCCCTAAACGAGGGATCCGCTTACAATGGACGCGGTGTCCCGTCCAGGTCCAACCCCCACCCCGAGAGCCCGGCATTGTGTCAGAAAATTGACTGCCCTGCGTTTTACCGCGCGGAATCGACGCTGCAGCCACCCCCCTGGGTCCATGAGAAAAAGGGCTATACGAGCTCCGGGGATGAACCGGGGTGCAGGGACTCCATTTTGAAACTATCAACGCGGAAAATCAACATTGTCCGCTTTTTCACCCCCCCGGGGGGTTGCAAAGCCGCGCGACGGGGTTGGTCCTCGGTCCTACGACGCGACTCGAATGGGGTGGTTGTGACAACCCTCGGATTAGCGTCAGATCGCGAGTCCGTCTCGGACAAGGGATGAGCAGCGATCCAAAGGACGAACGACCCCCTTCTCCATTATCGAGCTCGCGAATACACCGACGGTGTGTGACTTCTCTTGAGCTTTTCATGCCACGCATTTTTTATTCCACCCCTCTGCCGCAATTCATCCCCCAACCCCCACCACCCCTTTGGGAAGATGCAGGAAATCGTTAACTCTGCCGCGAGACCGGCCGGCCACTTACGGCGCGATTACCAGGACAAATAGCGGAACCCCTTCAACGGGGCTTAGCAACCCCCTTCGGGTGGGGCGAAGGCCCCCTCCCCCACCCTCGTTAATCGAGTTACCACCACTGGCACCCGCCCCATTTCGTAATCGTCCCCGGAGCGAGGGTCGTCATGGCGATGCCGCGTCCCGAGACGCGATTGGCGGGGGCTCTCGCCCCGTCGGAGGCTGTATCCCCCCGGACCACCCCCGGGGGCTGTTACCCCCACCGAGCGTTCCATGGCCGGGCTGATGGGATCCGCCACGAGTGGATGAGCCCGGGATTTGGCGCGCGGCTGGATTTACACGCGGTTTAGTGGACCCGGGAATCGATAACCGAATCTCCCTGGAGGAGGGGTACTCTCGAAATAATGTACGATTAATGTCACCAGATAACGCTAGTTACGAGATTACTGGTTGTCGTTGATGAGGAACCGTGGTTAATATGGCTAGAAAATTCTGATCGCCAAAATCTACCGAAATATACATGGTTATCTTAAATTCCTGAAACACTGGATATATTTCCCGGGGGGGAATTATTCTATCCGGAAATTCTCTTTGAATTTCCCAAAAATGGAATCGCCACGACCGGGTGTAATGATTTACTACTAATGTCTGGTACTTTAAGCGGGGAAAGTAGTAAACGCATGTTTAACGACCCGATCCAGAGTAACCGGAATTCTGTTTGTTTCTTAATTAGACATTTCTTGAGAAGTAGTACACCGATAACATCGATCTTGCTTTTGGTCGTGGTCTTGAGTCTTGCGGACTCTGTCGAGACGTCTTGTCGAATGACCAAGACCACGACTGAAGGGAGGAAATGGATTTTCCCGAGGGCGGAATTTTCCGACTTGCTTTTCTCGTTCCTCTCGATGGCGAGATCGAGCATCGGCTACAGGAGTTGGACGCGTTCTTTAGGATTAATTGGGTGTTCGAGGGGGAAGGGAACCCGATCTCTCCTCGACGGCAGGTGGGATAACGAGACCCCCCCCCCGCGGCTCGAAGGTGTCCCCCGTAAGGCGCGGTTTCGCGCGAGTGTCGGCGCTTACGCGTAATCGGGGCTGCCTCGGTCGCGTAAGTGACAGGTGAGTGCCTTATAGGTAAACCTCGTGTCCCGCGAACGGACTCGCGAACTCGCTCGAGGATAAATGCCGGAGCACTCATTAGCGCGATAAAAGTGACCGAGGAAACTCGAACGCCTCGAAAAAGCTCGACGGGTCGATTGGCGTCTTCCCCTTATCACAAGCGTCGAAATGATCGTCGGTATTAATTTCCCCGCATTTCCGTCGAAATCACAGTTGCGACTAATTACCGTCGAGATTATCGTCGGAAGGAATTTTCGAACGCGTTATTGATCCAGATCGCAGAAAAGGAGAGGTTCGATAAATCGGTGCCAGAAGGGACGCAAGGAAAATAATCTCGACGTGCCAGTCGAGAGAGGACTTGCGCTCGGGAGCGCAATGAGCGAGCGGCGCGGCAGGATGCATCGGTAATCGCGGAATCAATTAATCCGGATTGTTTATTAATATTCTAATTACGCGGCGAGCCCGCGCGAATCGAGGCGCACCGATAATGAAGGCGCGAGCGGGAGCGAGTCGGGCCTTGATCTATCGGAGGCTTTACACCCTCCGTTAAATATAATTACGTTTATTGCGCCGTCCCGAGCGCGACTGGCAGTGAGTTTTTACGGTCGCGCCAAATTGGACGTCCTCGTTAATGGAAATTAATATCCCGATCCGGGGCCCGACGGGGCCCGGGCCTCGTGACCTCCGCGCCGAGAAATCGATCCGACGGAGCGTTAACGAATAAATTGGACGCTTATTAATAAAGGGTAATCGAGAATTCTCGAGGATTTTTCGCGCTCGGGAAGACTCGATTCCCGGGGAGGTCGAGGCCTCTCGTCTCGGGAGAGGGTCCTTCGGTCGCTCCTCTTCGAGGTCGAGGATTTTCGAAAAATCGTCCTTCGACCGCGATGGATTCGGCGCCTGATCCCAGGAGGGCCGTCGCTGGTCACGCTCGAAACATTATTTTTAATCCCCGGGGTGGACGCGCCTCGCCAAACAAGCCGGGATATTATTTTTCGATCGGCGCCGCCCCGATCATCCCCTGGGGGGTGCGTCGTGTTTGCCCGAGAGGAAATTGAGCGCCATATCGCCTCCTGCCCCCGGAGGGATTCCCCCCCAGGCGAAATTACGCAACCCCGGCGAGGGTCCTTTGGCGATAATTCCTCAGGATCGGCCGGTATCGAGGCGAAACTCGGGGGAGGGGTTCACTGGAATACGGATCCTTGGGGTCGCTAAGTACCCCGGTCACTAACCGTGCATCGGTATGCACGCGGACGACACGTTGGACAGTGACGAGCCGCGTCCGTGACGCGACGGAGTAAACGGCAGCGACTCCGCGCGCGGCTGCCCTCGCGGGGCCCGATTCGACATATTCCCCGGGAAATCGATTCGCGACTCGGTCGTGTCTCGGGACGGTCATCCTGATTCCCTGCGAATTTTATCCCTCTTCCTTGATACAATCATTTTGCCCGACTCGGGGAACGAGACGATTTCGTGCCTCCCTCTTTTTAAATCGGGGCTGCTCCGACGTATTCCCCGAGAAATGGATCCGCCACTCGGAAGTCAGTTTCGCGGCTAGCGTTTTTGCGATCCTCGCGAAAATCCCGAAGCCGGCGTCGAATTAAAATGTTAGAACCCGTCCCGGCTGAGAGATAGAGATAGAACCGGAGGGAAGGAGACGGCCCGTCTTCGTCCTTTACAGGTGGATGACGAGGTACTCGCGATGGTTTATTCGCAGTCAGGAGACGCCGCGGCTCATTATGCACGGGGAATCGTATGCAGCCCGCATAATATGCAGATTTCTCCATTACGAGCCGCGGCGTAATACGCCGCGGAAATTGCGCCCGCGAACTGGCCCCGGAGAAATTCGGCGTCGCTTTCGAAATGGACCCGACCGAAAATTGCTGGAACCCGTCCCCTGAATTTTTCCGGCGTCTCTCCTCGAGCAGGTGCTCGACGATTCCTCCTCGCCTCCGAGGATTCACTTTTTATTTTCCCCGTCGACTCGCTTCTCGCCCAACCCCCCGCGTTTACGTTTTAACTCTTTCCGCGGCCATTCATTCGCCCGTAATAACACGCCGAGTGTATACGCCTTTTATTGTCCACTTCTCGACGCGACTCTTGAGTGCACCGTCAAATCGGTTACCTTTACGGTGCGCGTAAATTTCCCGAGGCATAAACAAGTGATTTTACGCACACGCGCGCATTCGCAAGCTCGCGTCCACCCCAAAGTCGGCGACTCCGATCCGCGATCGCGCGAGTGAGTTATCGGCGCAATCGCAGCGGCGAATCTCGTATGCGTTGCATTCGTACTTAGCTCGTGTGGCACCGACTTTGGGCGTTGCATCTATGACAAATTCGCGTGGCAGCGACTTTGCACCTTGCATCCATATTAATTTCACGTGGCAGCGACTTTGCGCGTAACATCCATGCCACACTCACGTGTCAGCGACTTTGCGCGGTGCATCCATGTCAAATTCGCTTGGCAGCGACTTTGGGCGTTGCATCTACGTTAAATTCCCCTGGCAGGGACTTTGTGTCCATGATACATTCGCGTGGCAGGGACTTTGCATGTCGCATTCATACTCAATTCGCGTGGCAGCTACTTTGCGCGTCGCATCCATGTTAAGTTCGCGTGGCAGCGACTTTGCGCACCGCGTCCACGCTGCAGGCGCGTGGCGGCGACTTTGCGCATTGCGCGCACCTACGTGCACCTATACGTGCGTATGTACGAGCGCGTGACTCCGGTTGCGGGCCCCTTTGATTTACACGAGCCGTTTACGTACTCTCTACGTAAGCTAGTAGCGAGGCGAGTCCCGCGTTAGCGCGTCGCGACGCGCCGCGACGCCCGACGGAGTCGTCGCGGGACTCGGGCCCCGACTTAACGACGCGAGGAGACGAAAGAGCCTCGGGGCCCTCCAGGAAAACGAAAACGAAAACGTAAACGAAACCCACGAGCGGCGGGTAGCAACGACTCCGACGTAATGGAGAATCGCTGCACCGAGAGAAAAGGAATAAAAACGTTTGGCTAAAAGAAATTCACATCGCGACGACGCGCTCCTACAACAAAACATGTTTAAAATCCCAGATCGAGTAAAGAAGATTCAATTGAATTACAACGGAGTAATTGTTTCTTACAATTATATATGACTAAGGCAACGCCATGTGCGCCGACATTGGGTAATTGTTTTAGTCAATTAATCTTTTTTTTCCGGGTGGAGGAAAGAGGGCCACAAGGCGAGAAAATTTCTTAGAGAGCGGAAAGGGTGACTTGAAACGATGTATGAATTTGCGATTAGGCTGTGGAAAGTATCGAAGCGTCGGTTGGATGCAAGCTACGCAGAGCAGGTCGCAGGTCGCAGGTCGCGAGGCAAAACGACCACCGCGAGTGACTTGTCTCTGGACATATCAGGGGCCGTCGTTAATCCGACGTTTCATTGGTTGTAATTTAGATTAGAAGCGGTTCGAGATCGGATTAAGCCTGGGAGCGAGTCGGCCGGACGCCTCCGGCGATCGAGGATCGGTCGAGCGTGCGCGCGCAGCTCGATCGAGCCGGATCGATCGCGATCGATCGCTCGATCGGTCCCGTTAATTAGCAATCGGCGTCGACAGAGCAATGAGCTAATGCCGGACCGATTTTCCACGGATCGCCGGCAGCAATCATCGTTAAGTCGGCCGAGCGACGCCCGCGGAAACTCGAGTCGCTGTCGTCGGGCCCCGAATGAGGCCCAAAAAGGTAGTTGGCAAAATCCGCGCTCCTATTTTTCCCATTCCGGACCGGGAAACCGAGGAATCCCGTTCCGATGGAAAAGTCGAGGGAAAAGGGCCCGTCGAACCGAGGAGCGCTCTCGGGGCCTTATCTCGGTGTTTCCTTCCCCATCGACAAGATCTGCCTGCGGTGCCGAGCAGACCGTAATTATACGCGCCGCTTCCGCGAGCCTAACCCAAAAGATGGCAGATTGGCAACGGCCGCGCTCGTTAAGATTCATAAGAACGTCGACGCGGTTTACGCGCGACCGCCGCGACCCGGTGGCCCTCGTTACGGGCCCCAATTACGCGCGATTAGCCCGACAATTATGGGAAATTACGCGATTCTAATTGAATCCGCCGCGTCGGACGCGCGGCCTTGCGCCGCGTGCCGGCACAAAGAGGACGAAAATGGAAGGAGGACGACGGGAAAATAAAAGAGGACCGATCCTCGCCCATATTCGACGACATGACGAGCCGGATCGGGCGCTCTCTTTTAATCAACCAGCGGTTATTAAATATATCCCTCCCTCCGCCGTCTCCCCTCGGGCCTCCTCCCCTCTAAGAAAAAAATCACATTTAACCGGAGAAATATTTCCTTGAACGGTACGCCGAATGTCTTGACATCGTACAGTGACAGCGCGATATCCGCAAGCAATGTACTCATGTCCGGTACCAAAAAAATGTTTCTTCGGTTCAATGGACTTTTTAAGGGCCCTGGAATGAACTATTCAAGAAATTAACATCCGCGGAGCTAATTTCGAGGCAGATGGGAATTCTCCAGGATCTGGTTGCGGAATGAACGGGGAGTCGCGGAAACGGGGGAGGTGCGCATAAGCGGTTCCAAGATGGCGGATAATCCGAATCCCTAGGCGCATGTTCCAACCCCTGCGACCCCCGCCCTCGGAATACGAAAACGCGTCCCCTCCGCACACGTACGCACCTTCCCTCCACCCATAGAAAATACCCGCGTGCGTGCACCTAGTTACGCATACATTCGCACGTAACGGAGCAGGGCTTGCGTTAAAAAAGCCGCCCTTGCTCCACCCCTGCGCGCATTACCTCGTGCATATAGAAAGAGAGGAGGGGAAAGAGGGAGACCGAGCCTCGCACGTTACACCGAGTATCCGGATTAGCATATCAATTCCCTCGTTATGGGGTCCCGTGCGTGCGCCATTAAGCTGCGTTATTGTCGATGGAAATTTCCAGGGGTGGCCAGGCTCGCTAAATCGACTCGGCCGCGGATTTCTTTCGGAATTAATCTCCGAAGCCCTGGAGGAGGGTACGCTCGCGTCTCCTGGGGCAGAATGGGGGGGTTGAAATTTTCGAAAGGGGGCATTCGCCCCCGGGGGGGCTGGTCTCTCACCTGGGTTTCCGTGAGCGACAACGCGTTGGCCAGTTGCTTCCTCTCGGCGCCCACGACGTAATGATTCTTCTCGAAGGCGTGCTCCAGCTTCAACAATTGACTCGGACTGAAGGCCGTCCTTATTCTCTTGGGCTTCCTGAAGGGCTGCAGCAGGAACCCCGAGATGTCCGCGCCTGAGAAAAGAAATTTAGCCTCGTTTAAGAAAATCCTATCCCTGGAACTCGGGGCGATTCCTAGGCAGGCAGCCTCTGGGGACCCTAGGGCCCGGCCAGGCCAGACTGGGGCCCGGGGCGCGCAATTACGGCGCGCAGGGCCCGGTCGCCCTGGGCGAGCCGAGATTGCTCGGCTATGCCGTCGACGTCGAATTAAGGGGCTCGCGCCCTGGGACCGGTCGGCCCTCGGCGCCGCGCCTCGTCGGCCACTCGATTCGCGGAACCCGCGGACTCGCAGCTACGGGCCTAATGACTTTTTAATTGTTGCTAATGCCGCCGCCCCTGCCAGGCCGCATTTGTATTCGGACGCTGATATCGAGCTCGCGTGTCGGAGACCCTGGAACCGAGGGGGCCCGAGGAGGTCCTCGGCGACCGACGAATTCCCGGATTCTCCGCCGCTTCCGCGTTCCTCTGGAAGCATTAACGAGGCTTTCCTAGTTTCCGGGGGTCGCAAGATGGCGGCCGCGCCTTTGCGAGACTCGGCTCGCCGACTGGCCCCGTCGTCCCGGTCGGTCCCATAAAAGCTCCCGCCGGCTTTACGAGCCAGGCCTATTTAAAGCATAATCGAATGCGCTAATGCTGATTATTAGTGGCCGCGCGAGCGACCGCAAGCTGTGAATCAACCCGTCGCGGGCGAGCCCGTTCCGGGGATTAATGAAATCGTAAAGATAATGGGAATTAGATCGAGAAGCCGCCGACGAGGGCCGGTAGCCCTGACACCAATGGCGGGCCCTACTTCGTGTCCCCTCCAGGGGACCCCTCGAATGAGGCCCAATTTCCCGCCCTTGAGAAAAAAGGGGGCCAAAAAAGGTCCCTGGTATAATGGACAAAACTTCCCCAGTTTTCCACACTTTTTTTCTCTTCTTTTTTGCGCTTCCTCTTTTTGTCCGCGTACGCGACTTTTTCGGGGAAACAATGACGTCTTCATCGAGGCGCGTCGAGAGCGGGAAAAAAGGGAGGCCCTTGAAACGGACTAAAATCAGGGATGTCGTCAAAAAGGAGGACGGGGGCGCGGACAATGCAGGGAAACGCGTGAAACGACGTCGTTCGAAGTTAGACAAGATGGCCGCCCTTTGTTGGGGTGGACGCCCCACGGGGAAGGTGTCGGGGGTTAACGACGCCCTAATAAAGGTGATTAAACCGTCTTTGTCGATCTCTCGACGGCACGAGGTGGAACGGAATCCAGGGCGTCGCGACGCGTTCTCACGGACCCCGGCGTCCGAATTTCGGGCGACGGAAGCTTCCCAGAATTTGGGCCTGTCGAAGAGGAGACACCTAAACGCCATAAGAATTCCCTGTATCGCGTAAACCCCCTTGACGAAATGTTAACCCTCATTTCAATTTTTTATATCCTCTTTTATTCGAATTAAGTCCTACTTAAAGTCTAGAAGTAGAAGTTACAATATCCGCCACTTTTAAAGTCTGAAGAAAAACCTCAAACATGCGAAAGTATACGTTGTCAAAACCCAATTAAAACCTAGAATTAGGAATCCCAAGTAGGATGAAAATGTTGAATTAGTAATCCTAAATAGAATGAAAGTTTTTAACTGGAGGTCTTAAGTAGGATCTAAATTTCGAGCACTTCCTAGTCTGCGTCACACTCGGTAACTAAACTGCGCCCAGCGTCTTATCGGTGACTTTCAACCTCGAGATTAATTTCTAATCATCTGTTTTTCTATCTTTTAAGGGCCTCGTTAACACTCGCTTAAGGGAGTCGCGTTATTATCTCGAAATGGTCGGTTCTAGTGGGAACACGTGAATGCCGGCGAATTTAATCGCCCTTTTTCTGGAGACCGGAGGTGATAAGGCGCGTTTCATTGACGAGAAGGAGGTTATGATCGACGGTTCGCGAGGAGCGTCGCGGTTCGATTACGCGAGTCGTTGCCTAACCTAAGCGGTTTCTCCAACCTCGAGAACTAGCGTCGGTATCGAGGAAGCGAGAACAAGACCGTCGCCGAGAGGACTCGTTACCGATAGGCACTAATTGCCAGATAACTCGGGTTACACGCACGCGATTCGCCACCCCAGCCTCGCGCTAGTGTTTCTCGGGCCGATATAAGTCGGCCGCTGATAACGCGGGTCCAGGGTCGATTTTGTACGCAACCGATCTCGCTCGACGATTAGCGTGCGACGGATCGCCCGATCGATTAGAATTCGACTTCCTCAAGAGGGTAAACACACAGAGTGCTTCCAATTAATCGGGTGAATTTTAGCGAATTTTAAAGAATTTTATCCGACTTCAATTTTATGGAATTTTCTCTTATCAAGCGCCCTGAATAATAAGGCCGACCCGATCGGTTCCCTTTCGCGGGGATTTCGATGCCTGCATAAGACACGTCCCGAGATGCGGTCTAAAGAGATCTCGAAATCCATTTTCTGAAGGATACAAGTTAGAAGGTAGGATGCGATGCCCCCAGTTTGGAGAAAAATGTTATAAATGTTTTGACGTTTTATTATATAGAATGATCAATGGCGCTTTAATGACACCTTAATTCACGGATGTTAAGGGGAGGAATCCTCGTTTTGCAAACCGACGGGTCGATTATCCAGCGACGAGGGTTTAAGAGCAGGGGAAGAAGTCCGGACGCGGTCTCGTCGCCGCGGCCGAAGATGGCGGAGGTAATTTTTCCGCCGGGACTAGTTCCGCGGCGGAGCGGCCGTACTTCTTCTCCCGGCGCCGTATATACGTATGCCGATTGCGGTAAATTTATGATAATTGTCCGTTCCTAGCCGCGAGCCACCTCTCGGGAGCCCGACCTCGTAAGTAACAGGCGAGGAAGCGTAAAACACTGCTCCCACCGCGCGGATTCCGCATGCGGCCGCTCGGGGAACTCGGGCCCGATCTTGCGGATCGTCGGGCCCAAAGGAGGGAATTTCACTTTCCGCGGAAAGCGACCGTGAAAATCGAGCGGAGGAAATCGAAGACGCCCGAGTCGACTGTCTGGGCGCATCGGAAATGGGCCTTACGGACCTTGTGGGCCTCACGGGCCCCAAACGCGCCAGAGAGGAGGAGGCCAGAAGTCGGGTTGGACAAAACCTGACTAATTATACAGGTGTCTCCCGACTCGAGGAGGATGATCGATGGATCCCAGTGGGATGTCTCCTGGGATCGGGCCCGAGGAGAAGACGGGCTTCGGGCCCCGCCGTCGAAATCCAACCGAGCAAAAGTACCTCTCCTAATAATCGACGTTGACTCTCATTTCGTCGGGTCCGGAGAGAGTCTCTTCCGTCTCCCCGCGTCCGAAAGAGACGCGACATCCTCCGATTAGAGTCGACGTCGCGCACACGAGGGCACGTTACAAAACGTCGTTGCGTCGGTCGTTGCGAAATGTTGCGAAAGATCGTCTGGCGACACTTTTTGCCGATTTCAGGCGAGTGCGTAACCACTCTCGATCTAACATAGAGACCTCGCCGTATGAACGATTCGAGGTTAGGATGCCTCGACGTAGCGGCAGAAATTTTGAGCCACGAAGTAGTATAAGAAAATTCAATGCCATGTACCGAAGTCGTCCCCATTTTAGAGGTCCAAGATATTCGACATTTCTCTTACAAGTACCGAGAGCGTCGATGACATTTTGCAATTAAAAATTATCGCCCGCTAGTCTTTATCGCGTTAAAAAAGTCACGTTATGTGTATCATCCGCGGATTATCGTTTCGCTTCGCGTGGGACCGACCATAGACGTTGTCTCCTTGTACCGTTTCATGTTTTGGGCACTTCTTTCACTTTCTTAAAATGCCTTTCCTTTTTCGTGAATCCGCATTCCTCGATCGTTCCCTTTCTGCGATCTTCCCGGGGAATTCGAGAGAACTCACGCTCGAGGAAACGACCGGGCAGGCAATAAGCACTCTCTCGGAGGCATTCAAGTGGGTCAGTCCCTCTCTCGATAATGAGAGAAGAGAGAAAATTGACGGGAGTCGGGTAATAAGGCCGCGGAGAGAATTAACGACGCGAGCCTCCTCTCCGGGGCGCATCTCTTGAAAAAGAAATTATCCCGCCTGGGTATCTTATGGGACTTTTCCCCGATGGGCCGAATTTTCAGTCGAATCAAGGGGGCGAGAAATGGTCCGAATGGGGAGGTTTCTTGGGACTCACCTGCGGTGTACCGGTTGGAGAAGATCCTGCCGTGCCTGGAGAGGAGCCAGGGGTAGAGTTGATAGCTGTCGCGAGGCTGTTGATGCGGATGCGGCGGGGGATGGGGTCCAGCGAGGGGCCCGCCATGGGGGTAGCGTGGGGAGGGCCGGGGGGCCCGTGGGGGCCGTGGGGGCCGTGGGGCGCGTGCTGGGCCTGCAGCGCGGCCGCCTGGAAGTGCTGGATCGTCGCCAGGGCCAGCTGGGCGTGGTACTCGTTCTGTCCGGGCTGCGGCCCCGGGAGGCCGTAGAGGGACTTGAGCTGCTCGGCGGCGACGCTGGCGGCGGCGCTTCCGGGGAAGGGCCCCAGGTAGTTGGGGCTGGGCCTGACGACGGCGGGCGGCGGGGGCGGAGGCGGCGGCAGCGCCGCGCCGATCGGCGACGCGTCCGCGGGGGCCAGTCCGTGGGGGGGACTGGGGCTGTCGTCGGGGGTGGACCCCCCGCTGCGGCCGAAGTCCAGGCGGCGGGCCAGCGGCTCGGCCGCCCTTGGCCGCGCGGGGTAGGACTCGACGGAGGAGCCGCGCGAGCCGGGCCGGTCCGAGCCCTCCGAGGGCGCGGCGGGCGAGGCCGCGGCTTGGCGCGCCCGCGGCGAGGACGGGCCCTCGGCCGCGTTCGGCGGGCTGACCCCCTCGCGCACCAGAACCACTCGCTTGAGCCGCTCCAGCCGGTCCTCGCGGCCTCCGCCGCCCACGATCGAGTCGATGCTGAAGCCGATCTTCGGCTTGGCGGGCACCGGGACGATCCGCGTCGGCGCCAGCGGCATCATCCTCCGCTCTCTCGCTCTGTCTCCCTCGAGGTCGCTCTCTCCGACTCCTCAGCTCATCCCGCGCCCTGCGGCTCTCGGGGCCTTACCTCGAGCGAGGCTCCTCAGACCGCGGCCATGTCTCTCGCGCGAGTCGTCCGCGACTCCGTGCCGCGGCTCAGCGCGCGGCGTCGCGCCCGGCCGCCCCGCGGACGCTCGGGGCTCCCATGGCAAGCCGGCCCCGCCCGGGTTCGCGCACTCACTCGCTCGCGAGCGACCTCCGTCGCCACCCTCCGGACGCGGACGAGGACACCGACGTGGGGTACGAGCCCTGGCTCCGAGCGCGGGCTTCTCGGACGTGCTTCTGGCGCGAGCTCTTGGTGGTGTTTGAGAAAATTACCGACTAAACGCCCCGGCCCGCGCCGCGGGGCCCCCTCCTCGCGCCCTGGACGCCGCTGGAGGGGCAGACCGACGCCGCCGGGGGCGGACGTCGGGACGCCGCCCGCCTTCCGACCGGCCTCCACCGCCTGGCTATTGGCTCGTCCCGACAAACCGCGCCGGATCCCCCGTGCCGAAGGACTCGGGTGGGGCACCGCATTAGTCGACGATGGGCGTTAAACTCGGCTTTTTCTCCCGGGATCAAAACGAGCCGTTTAATTAATACGTCTGGACTCCGCGTGGTTCTTGTCGCTGCGGTTCCGCCGGAGGCGGGGACCCATGGGCCCCGACGGGGCCCTACGGCTAAGGGCGCGCCCTTTCTCGCGAATCCAGCCCGCCCGCCCCGATCGATCCGCCCGTTTCGCCTTTTTTCCGTTCCGATCTTTTCCCCGGTTCTCTTTCTCCTTCTTTCCTTCTTTTCGAGTTTCCGCATTTGCTTCGCGCGACGTCCAGCTCCCGTTTTTTCGACGACGACCGCCCCCGACGGCGGGCGTCCCTTCGCGCTGTCCCTTCCGCCGAGAGCCGCGAAAAGCCTCCGGATTTATTTTTCTTCAGATATTGGGACTCTTTCTTCGGTTTCTTCAATCAACCGAGGGTAATCGTCCCGCCACATCGACCGTATTAAATTCTCCATGCGACGGCTCCGGATATTATGCCACTGGGAAAGATAGAAAGGTTGACTGAAAGAAATATGCATTGCGACGAAAAAAACGGACGATCAAATACGCTCTAAAAAGTCTCATCGGGTTGAGGGTACGGAATTCGTTTAAACCAACGTCACATTTTTTTCAGCAATGTATCTCTTAAACGTAGCGAACAAAATTCAGGATTTAACGATCCGGGCGGATTTCTTTTCCCCGTTGCCGCTCGGCAAGGGTAACGTCGAAGCCCCGAATGATTCGCTCGTTTCCATTAGCCATTTAAAACGGGCGCACACGTATCGGCTTTACGAGCGCACCGAGCCTCGAAATAATTCTATTGTACCGGGCGTAATGGCCGCAGCGATTATTATTTCAATCCGAGCAAAAATCCGGCCGGCGGAGGCGATAAAACCGCGATCGTATAGTTACCGGTCGTTCTTACCAGAGGGGCGCCCTCTCGGTCGAGGAAGAAAGGGAGTTTTCATCGGCACCTGCAATTACGAAACGCAGTCGGGACTTTTTCCGCCCCCTCCCTTAACCCGCGTCGGGGGGCCGCTAAACGGAATCCTCTCGTTTTTCCCCGGGCGCGGATTTACTTACCTGCAAACGACACCTGGTCACGCTCGAGATCGGCCCCGCTAATTACCCACGGCGGCTCATAACGGCTCCTAATTTCTATCATCGACTTCCGACATGACCGCGCGTCCCTGGAGGAATTTAGTTATTCGGCGAGTTAGTCCTCGGTCCGGGTGGAGACGCCTTGCAGCGCGCGGAGTCGCTGCACGGTGCACCGGCCCAGGCCAAGGAGCTCTCTCGTTTATAATTTCAAAATTCCCCACGGGCTATTCACTCGGAAATCAGGGAAAGAACTATCTTCTTTAAGGACGGATTGCCTTTTTTCGTGTAAGCGCCGCCATATTGGATAATCAATTCGCGACGTTTCTCGAGATTTGTGGGTCGCCGGGGTCGCTGTCGGCTAAGTTGGAAGGACCCTTGGGCACGGAATATCCTGGTAAGGTCCATGGAGGGCCTTTTTGAGGTTCGACGATGCGGTAGAAGAGGGAAATCGAGATTTTGCCGGACAGCCCCAAGAGACGCCGAGCAAAGTCGATTTCGCAAGTCGTTTCGCAACGGCTTCGCACGCGTCTCTGCTAGCCCGTTTACCTAATTGACCGCATCTTCGTCGGCTGGGCGCGTAAACGTCCCCGAGACGGACGTGCCAATTATCGAGTTTGACGCGATTCTTTTGACGACTTAACCGAAATTGCCGGAGGATGTCTTTGTCCGATCTGTCCACTTCCCTCCAACAGGGGCTTTGTACGTTGCAATGGGTTTGCCAACCGGAGGGGAGCATCTTCCAATGGTGGATCCTTTCGGACGCCCTCGTCCTCGCGATCCCACGATCGATCGATCTTCCTTAGAACGAGTTCGGGAGAAACGATTTACCCGCCAGGAGAGAGCCGGTGCGTACTTCCTCGAACCTTGAGGAAACTCGGACGTAAAACCAGCCTCGGGATGGGCCTCGCCGGTAATGGCGGAAGGATGCGTTTCTTTCCGGTGGCAGACTTCCTCGACGGCCGATTCCCGCGATTTACGCCTTGCACTGAATCCCTGGACCTACCCCGAAGAGTTAATCATCCCCCTGCGTCTCGTTTCAAATTAGATTTCAATGACAAAATATCTCAGAAACCCGGGTTAACGGGTGAAACGACGAATTTGGTACATGGCGTTACATCCCTTATACAGCTTCGCGGTGGCAACGCCTGATGGATTTCCAACTGATTTCCAGTTTATTTCCAAATGATTTCCATGTGATTCCGGGCATTAAAATCCAGGATTTCCTCGGTGAAAATACCCTCTCGGATTTTTCCTCTCGGGGAAGGGGTGAGGGGGATTCGCCGCCGCGGCGCGAGGGGTGGCTTCCGTTTTCGCGCGTCCAGAACGCGCTCGCGCTCCTCGCCTCCTGGGGGCGGCAATTGGCTCTCGCAGGCTCCTCCACGTGTGTAGGTGTTGTTCCTGGCCTCGGGAGGGGATTCAACATGGCGACCGAGCACACATCGCGGCCTCCGGGGAGCCAATGCGCGAGCGGCGAGTCCGGTCCTCGCCTTCTTGCTCTCCTCTCTCGCTCTCCCCGGCTTTCTCTCGCCTCCACTCGCCGCGGAGCACTTATCGCACTTTGTTACCGTACCTAGAGTACGTATCTCGGGGTCCATACATCGAGGTAAATCCGGGTCCGGCTTGATCGATCCCGATTCTCGAGTTTGTACGGATTTTTTTTTTTCACGCGTGAATAAATACGCGTGAAGAATTTCGCATGCTTGCGGAGTCACGTCAATGGTTAACATTTTAAACTCGTAGATGAAATCGTCGATTTTCAGGGCGAAAGTTGGAATTTCCTGGATATCTTTTATGTACTTTTGCGTATATTTTAGAAATATATTTCCAAGGGTGGTGGTTGGATTTTTTTATATTTTCTTACTGCGCCCGGAAATCCAAAGGGATTTATCGCCAGATTTATCAATGGGATCCCGAGGTCCTGATTGCGCGATTCGCGAGGGAATTGCCGACGAATTCCTCGATTGTCCTCCGAGTAACGAATTTTCCGCGCCTCCAGTCTGGGCGTTGCGGCTCGAGGGTGAAAGGTTTCGGAAAATAGGAGAATAATGAAAGAAGAGAAAGGAGCGATCGAGAGAAAAGAACGAGAGCAGGACGCGTGGAAGATGGCGGCGGCCGAAGTCGCGAGATCCGAGCCCGAGGAAAAAAGAACTTCCTTTCGTTTCGAAAACGGCCGAAGTCGTTAGAGACGCATTGTCGGAAGAGAAGGGCGGGGTGGACGAGGTTAAATAAAAAGTCTTGAAAAGATTCAACGACCGGAGGCCATTGACAGGGCTGATATAAAATTGTAAAGAGACAACGGTCCTCCCTTTTCACGATCGAGCCGAAATTCGGCGAGAGCGAGCGAGATTTCGAGGGAAAAGCCGCGTTTTGAAAATCAACTCGTACATTAAGGAGATGAAAAAGGGACGGGCTGGCAAAATGGGCACGGTAATCGCGCGATTCGCCCGGAGAGTCGCGCAACAAGGACTTAACCGAGGGGAGGTTAGGAGACCCGCGGAGTCGGATTGAATTGTAAAGGACCGCCTCGTTTCTCCAACAAACTGGGGAGAAAGAATGGGAAGAAAAGGGAGGAAAGGGCCAAAAGGAGGAGCCGACGGTATTTCACGCGTCGCTCGCGTGCCTTTGTCGCGAGTAACGGCGAGTTACCCTCGAGGAGAACGCCGCAACGGCGGCCATTTTGGTTCCCACTTTTGCGGGCCACTCCTTGGACTCTCTTGAAGGAAATCGCTCGTTCCTGCTCTCTCGCGCGTTTAGATTTGGGCCGAAGATACTCGGATACGTTTACATCGTGCTTTGGAGCAGTTCTCTCGTAATTCTCTTCGGAAGCACGTGGCAGCAATGCGTCGTCGAAGACGAGGACGCGATTCCACTTCTCCGGGGAGAATGAGAGATGGCGGAGCAGGACTAGAGTCATCGAGTCGGGAAATTGGCAGGATTGCAGAAATTGCCGCCGACCGCGAGGGCAGCCGGGGGTTAGGCTGACATTCAATTATCCTGCACTTACGACGGACCTTGGCGTAAGTACGGCGCGTCTCCCGGCCTGCCCACTTCCAGGCTAATCGTCCTTAATAAGGAATCTCCGATGCAACGACCGAGCAGGATGCGACGGGGCCTCTGTCCTTAACGAGATACCAACATCCCGCGAGGATAGCCAGGAGGTTCCACAGTTCTAAGCCTGCCATTACGCGCATTCCGAGGAACTTGGTGCAGAGACTCCTCTGGAGCAACCTGATCGGATAGAGAACACGATAGAAAAATCCCGACCCTGAGGAAAAAATCGATAAGGTTAATATCCCGACTCCTGGCGGGTTCCTGTGAAGATCACATTTTCGGAGTTCCTGAAAGGCCGGAATTTCCATCCCCGGATACTTTGAGGTTAGAATGCCGGGAGGATGGAGAACCACTGGGATGCGGTCCCCCGTCTTAAATAACCGGTCGGCACCTATGATTTTCTCAGGTGAGAGAGAGAGAAAGAGAGAGAGCGTGCTAGGGGATGCGTCG